CACGGTTCCGCCGCGAGAGAGGGCTCCTATCAGGCGTGCGGTGCCGCCCACAGAGCATCCTCCATTACTTTTAATCTCCTTGGTGACCACTCATCTCACTTACGATTTGTGTATGAGTTCTGGGCGGGGCTTTTATGGGTTGTGAGGGATCACATGTTTACCTCACCAGCAAAGCAGCTGGAAACTTGTTACCTATTTGTCAACAGTGGGAGGGGCTTACGCAACATGATCGGTTGGAGGGACTACCTAACAACAATGACAGGTGATTGGATTATGATGGCCAATGCATGATTTACACAAAACGTAATGGAGTCACTAAGGCGGTCGTCTAAGACAGGTGTTATTGTTTGGTGTGATAGAAGGAGTTGTGAGTTAAAATATGGTGGCCGCTACCGCGTTGGACAGGTGCCCGTTTTACACAGTTAAATTAAATAGAAAAAACGCAAGGGGGGAAATGGAAAGTGGCCGTTTGTACAGTAAAGGTGGCCGTCTTAGATGTGGCCATCACAGCAGGTTCGACTGTATAGGAAAATATATATATATATATGGTGTTTTATAAAAATAAAAAATTTAAAATAAACTGAATTTTCTAAGCAGTTTTTGTAACATGCGATTAAACGTAGAAAGACGCAAACTATTTTTAGGCACCCATCTTGTTTGACATCAGACCAGGATACCCCTCCGATCACGTGACTACATCTAAGTATAGCCAACCGCATGACACCAAAGATGGAAGTGTCTACGTATATACTGCTTAATTTACCCCTTTTTCTCGGAAGTTCTGAAGGCTGAATAGACAGCGCTTCTGCGTTTGAAGTCGTGCAATGTTTGTTGGAGCGGTTCGATCCCGGTCCCGGACAGTTTTTTTTTTCTCTTCCGACTGACCAAAAGTCCCATAAATTATAGGCCTAATTTGTAGAGTTGGTTTGAAGTTTTTTTTTGGTTTTTTTAAATATTATATTAGTGATTAAAAATGCAGGAGATAGGGGGGGGGGGGTAGATCTAGATCTAGATTTAGATATCTAGAATCTAGATCTAATCCTCCTGCTTCTTTACAGCAATTTTCGTGCGGTCTTCCATCATGTCCAAGTAGGCCTACTATCTAGATCTAGAATCTAGATCTAATCTAGATCTAGATAGATCAAGACTAGATCTAGGAAATCCGAAATGTTACCGAAAACACGCCATTCCATGTGGGTATCCCAGGAAGTGATGACATCACAGTATTAAAATAAGCAGCCAATCAGAATAAGATGCGCGTCTTTTCTACGTTTAACAGCATACCCATTTACAAGTGGAGGTATTAACTCACTTGCGACTGGGCCCTTTCACCAGTCACAAGCGTTGAAGACTGGCGTTTTTGGGGGTATTTCAATAAATCATCACAACTCTCAGAATTATCCTATTGTAATCATTTTTTGACACAGTAAAGTAACATTCAAGCTTAATCTAATACAAAAAAACGAAAGTTGTCTAAGTCTAATACTTTAATTTGTATGATTTTCTAAAAATTGGCATGAATTTGATTTTCCGAAAAATTTCCAGAGACGTGACAAGTAGAATGAAATTCACTGCAACAACAAAAATAAAAGTTCAAAGTGTTCTGGTTTGATTTGTATACATGTGCGAGTGTTTGGTGAACATATAAAAGCTGGTCTGTGCATTGATTCAGACCCATACACTGAATTACATGAGACAGATGTACGGCACGACGTTGTGATTTCGTTGCGCGAAAAACAACACCGGTACTAGTGCTAGATCTAGCCCTAGAACTACGACTCGGGCCATGTTCGGGTACATATCCAGGATCCTAACTATTAGACACATCATATTCTGAGACACTAGAACTAGTAAAACGCACAGAAGTATAGAAAACGGCGAAATTATGTGATTCTTGTTCATGCGACTTCTTCGACCGTTACTACGACGCGACTGTCGGATTACTATCAGCTGTATAGAAAAAAACAAAGCGCGAGTTCCGGTCTGTTCAACCCCAGTTGGGGTCACTGTCCTTAATCTTCAATAACTTAAAAACTACCGGCCCCAGAGATACGAAACGAAGTCTAAGTAGCTCAGGCTTGGCCAAACAAGGGTATGAGGCGGGTCTCGCGATCCGTGCGTGATTTGTAGAGCCAAAAAAAAATTCCAAAGTTGGTCACGCAGGGCTTGTGAGACCCGTCGCGAGCGTCGCGGCGGGGGTCACGCAACTGTTGTGTGACCCGTCTGAAGTGAGTTAATTAGCAAGGGGGGGTACTATTTAAGAATGTTGCGATGCATCTTCAAATAGTCTATATCTAGAGTCTAAAGGTGGAAGGACTGCCATAACGAGCGACCACCTCTGAACAAACGGGAGGACTTCCGTAACGAGCGACCACTATTAGACAGAGCAAAATTGAGGGCTAGGGGTAGATCTCAGGCCTAAGGGTAAGGGTAGGGGTAGGGGTAGGGTTAGGCCAGTTAGGGGTAGGGTTTGAATTAGGGTTAGGGTTAGGTCTCTTCTTTATTGTGTTTGATGGGGTGGTCGCTCGTTACAGAAGTCCTTCCGAACAAACACAAGTTGTAGAGTTGTAATGAAGAGACCTAACCCTACTCCTAGACCTCTATTCTACTCTGTCTCATAGTGGTCGCTCGTTACGGAAGTTCTCCCATGATGGCTTTTAAC